GGTGTGGAGGGTGACTATTGGGAACCCCGGCACTCTATTGTTTTGTTTCCGTTGTGGGTGATAGAACTGTACCGCTTCCTTCCTTTATGCAGGCTCACTCTGATACTCCCTCCCATGCCTTCTGTAGCCGCAGGGCAGGCCACGCGAATCAGTCGGCCTGGATCTCCGGGGTCCCACAGTTGGCAATTGGGATCCCAGGCACTCTGTCCTTTTGACTTTTCCTGCTTGCCCCTCCCCCAGCGCTAGCTAGACAGGTTTCATTTTGGCTGCAGATGGGGAGGAGGGGGTTGCAGGTCAGGTGCCTCTAGTTCCCCCCTAGTGTTTATGCAGGCTCACTCTGATACTCCCTCCCCAGGCAAGCCTAGGAGAGATTTTATGCGAGTTCCCGATGAATGGGGGATGGGCTGAGTGTCACACACCTGTTTTGTTGTTGAGATCTGTCGGAGAGTGGCGGTGGATATTTCAGCTTTTCAAGATGCTGGCTGCTGATTGCCTTGGTGGAGTGTCCGCTGTGGGGGATGGGACTGTACCGCTTCCTTCCCTGTCTAAAATCCCGTACTCAGCCTGGGGGTCAGTGCGGGCCTGGCTGGCGGGATTCCACCTGATCGCAGCCGCGCCTCTCCCTGCTTGCTAATTCTATGCATCATTCTTTGTATTCAGGAAAGTTACTGGGCTAACAACACTATGCAGCTTTCTGGCAGTTGCATTCTACAGTTGCAAAGTACAATGTTAGGAGTTTGAGTAGCTCTTGAGAAAGTCCATTGTTTATAGTTACTGTTAGACAGGCAGGTTCAGGAACATCAGAACTGGTGAAACATTGTGGTGGTCTAGCAAGAAATTTCCTCTATTCCCAGGAGCTATGTGCTTGAGATCAAGGTCAGGGCTGATAAGACTCTAGCACAGAACCTCTTCATGCAGGGCATTATCATAGCACCTAGGCATCCTGCAACTTTACACAAAAACATTCCCAGGCACCAAGCATGCCATAGCCATGAGGTCATCAGAGAACCCAATCTCAGACACTGCTCTCCCATTCCCTGTCACCACTCTCCACAGTAGCTCAGTGATAAAGCAACCCTGGGTTCAATCATCAGTGCCAAAGATAGATGATAGATAGATAGATAGATAGATAGATAGATAGATAGATAGACAGACAGTAGCCATTGACAATACCTAAAGTACCACTTCCCGAGTATCACATTGCCCAAGGCTACACTTGTCTGACGTTTAACTGGAGGTAAAGGATGCATTTACAAAATGTTTCCCTCACATGCCTGGTGAGCTGTGCCACTCACTGGGGAAACCTCAGTTCTCTTCGACATGGACCTCTTCCCAGACTGCTTCAGTGTCTTCATGGAACAGTAGTTGAGCCTCCTCCAGATGAGCTGATCCAAGAGAGAACAAGGCAGAAGTGACAATGTCATTTAAGACTAACTCCGAAAGTCACAGTCATCTCCACCTATCCATATGAGCAAGTTTCTGACCATAAATAGGCTACATTCAAGTGGAAGGATCAGTCTACACTTTTTGAAGGAAGAAGCAACAAATAAGTCTATGGACATATTTTAACTGCCACAAAAGATTATGTAAAATTTCTAAAAGCATCATCCCTAGTGACAATGATATTAAAAGAGACTCTAAGAATCATTATTTGTTCCTATGAGCAGAAACAAATCTGCCTTTGAGGGCTAGAAACTTTATTTAGAATAGAATCACTCTTTCAAAAATATGTATATATATATATATATATATATATATATATATATATATATA